AAAAAATTTTTTTAAAGCTTCGCAAACATCAACTGATGACAATGTAGCTATCTCTTGTTTTTTAAAAAAATATTCTATATTTATTAATTACGGTATTAGAATAAGTCAGTTGTGGTTATTAACCACCATATCTTTCAAATGTTTCCTTCTCTATTATATCTTGCTTCATTATGAATACAAAATGCTGAGATAATTTTTATGTAAATTAATTTGCATATTGCTACACTAAAATATTTAAATAACTGTTACTGTGCTGATATTCCATTATACATTTTGACATGAATGCAAATTCAATATATAAACCACCGATTAATTAAACCTTTGCAGTCGTATGTCTGCTCTCAGCCACTAAAGCCTTTTTACCATTCCAGTCGTATGTCTACTCTCAGCCACCACAGCAAGGAACTGTATGAATCGTATACTGTAAGCATTCATGTATCAGTTTACACTCTCCTATACGAACCTCATTGCCTACAGAACCTATTCACGAACCAATACGGTGCTCTATCGATTGGAGATAACGTAATCTAATCTAAACAAAAGTTGTGACCCCGCACTCGCCATGCAAGACACAGTGGCGAGTCAGTCGTCTTTTGAACGTATTGAAATCGACAACGTTCGACGATACCTCGTAGAATTCCAAAGAATATTTCATAAATTGTATTTAACAGTAATTACACATTCTCTCTTAAAATATTCCAAAATAATTCCCCAAAATTCAGCTAGAAGAGAGAACAGGACACCTTTGCCACATTTTATGTTCGTCCGAAAATTGGTGGCACAACTGGTAGATAATTTTCGTGACGAAGCAGATTCAAAACCAGGAAGACCATAGACCTCCGATAAGGAAGAAAGACTTAATGGAAAACTGCATATATTACGGCATTGTGAAAATGTAAAAAGTAAAGATTGTAGTGTATGTTCAAACAGAAAGATTAAGGGAGGAAGGCACCAAACCAATTATTTTTGTGATACATGCACTGGAAAACCTGGCCTGCATGTTGGAGAGTATTTTGAAAAATATCACACGAAGGAGAATTATAAAACATAATTTTTATACAAAAACATACCACTAGATTAGTGTATTGAATAAAGATATATCTAAAGTTCACAAAAGAATTACTAAATCTTGTTTATCCATCATAAACTTGCGTGTTACATATCCCTGCTCTATCGACGGAAATTAATTCCGAACAGTACGATACCCATCTCCAAATTTAATCCGACCGCAAAGGGTTAAATATTAGCTAATTGTAAACATTTTCATAAATGCACTGTATGTGTTATATAAATCAGTGAACAATTATATTTTATAAATTGGTGGCACAACTGGTAAATAATTTTCGTGACGAAGCAGATTCAAAACCAGGAAGACCATAGACCTCCGATAAGGAAGAAAGACTTAATGAAAAACTGCATAAATTACGGCATTGTGAAAATGTAAAAAGTAAAGATTGTAGTGTATATTCAAACAGAAAGATTAAGGGAGGAAGGCACCAAACCAATTATTTTTGCAATACATGCACTTGAAAACCTGGCCTGCATGTTGGAGAGTATTTTGAAAAATATCACGAAGGAGAATTATAAAACATAATTTTTATACAAAAACATACCACTAGATTAGTGTATTGAATAAAGATATATCTAAAGTTCACAAAAGAATTACTAAATCTTGTTTATCCATCGTAAACTTGTGTGTTACATATCCCTGCTCTATCGACAGAAATTAATTCCGACCAGTACGATACCCATCTCCAAATTTAATCCGACTGCAAAGGGTTAAATATTAGCTAATTGTAAACATTTTCATAAATGCACTGTATGTGTTATATAAATCAGTGAACAATTATATCCCTAAAGTTTACACCAATTTATTAAAATACAGAACTGCACTTTGGATAATTAGCATTCTTTGTTAATATCTATTCTTTGTTAACCAGCATTCTTATCTGTACTTCAGAATTATCTCATTTAATTTTGGGCACAGTAAACTTCATTGAAAATGTAGCTTTTCTGACCAAATAAATCTTAATATTTCCCATAAAAAAAGGGGGTGAATGATGATGATTCGTCTTTCTCATATATAGATCAATAAACAGGTCTTTCAAAAGTAAACAGCTTTTATCTAAATGAATATGGTATGCTCATAATTTTATCAGTATGTTTCCTTATTGAGACAACTGACAATAATGAAACTATCTAAATCTTTTTTTTTTTTTTTTTTTTACAAATTTATTTATTACTCATAAAAAAATTACTTATATTACTTTAAAGCATTACTCCTTCAAAAAATACTACTAATTGTATTAGTTTTTGTTTTATTTTTAAATAAAAACTTAATACAGAGTATACCAAAATAAGAACACTTTTTTAACATTAACAACAAAAAAGGGCATTAAAGATCACTTAAATGGACATTTTGTATTTGAATCTACAATGTCCACATAATGCATATGAACACATGTAGACATTCTGTTACAGCCTGGGAAAAGGCAGGCATCAGTTTATAATATCAGAGGTAAGTGCATTTTCTTTGAAGCATTGTAAGTGAATTTAAGTATTACTGAAAAACTAAAAATATGTCCAATGTGTAAAGATGATGGGGGACAGAATTTTAGACTTTTTCATAATCAAATGTAACAGTTATGAGATTATGTGACAAGTTTCAGAAAAATGATATCGTATGTGATTTGATGAATAAAAAGAGAATTACAATGAAAGAATATGGGGATGATAATACACTTTCAATTGTGTGCACCAAAACTGCAGTCACTGGATGACATCAGACATGAAACTGAGACTATTAGCATAACTCTTCTGTAGAAATCATATTAGTAGTTTATCAGTTTTTTGTACAGCACTGAAGATGACATATTGTTGCCAAAGGCATTTATTTTGAACATCTAAAACTTTAGTAATGTGTCACCAAAAATGTTAATGCTGTTATATTAGTAAGCCTGCTATTAATGTTTAAAGATGTCACCAAGAATGTTAATGCTGTTATTAGTAAGACTGCTATTAATGTTCAAAGATGAAATATTTTGGGGTACTCAGTAATTTTCCTTTAATCAATGACAATATGGTTCTAGTTCAAGAAATGTTACTCAAAAAAGAGTTTTAAATTAATTAATTATATTTTTAAATTAGATACTGCTGTAATTATTTTAACTGCAAACCTGTTAGATGTCCTCCTTTTGATGTGTTACAATTTATTATGACATGTGAATATGAGTTTAAATCGAACATATAATTATTAATGATATAACTCTTTTTAAAATAACATTTTTCAAACAACTGAATACAATGAGCCCTCTCCTGTTGGGCCCCTCAGAAAGTAAGGAGTATTGCTATATTCAACTTTCTGCTGGTAACTACCTCTTTCAGATGACTACCACTAAAAATGACCAGTATTTTAAGAATTATAAATATCAACACTTAGCATCATCACACAAAATAATCAACTCCACAGAAGACTAAAATCATCTGAAACTGGAAAGTTGTTTTAAAGAGAATTCACCAGACCCGATTTTTAACAATTTGTCCCGCGCCCCACGACGTTTTAAAAAAGTCCCGATTTTTGGAAAGAATGCACGATAAGCTAGGGAACGGCGGGAGAATACGGTTTTCAGCAGCCATGTGGTTACTTCGTCAGGATATAGTATGTCTTACATTCTTTTTGATAATTTTATAATGTTAAATTTTAATAATAACAAATAATTGTTGACAACTGATTATTGAGAATTGCTTATCAAAGTTTGCATTGTTGATCAGTTGTTAAAATTCGACCACCGTTGTTTGGACTTAATGGCATTTCTTGGCATTGGCATTGGAAAAAATATTTTGGAACTGTCTCTCAGACAATACACATCATACTGCATGCTAGTGCTAGTTAAACAAGTGATGTCAACAAATCAACTATTCAGATAATTTAGGTATGTAATTTATTTATTCCACAAACACATAAATTTTCTTGAATTTAGCAGACAGTACTCTTATTATTTATATTTTATAGTGGCGGCAAAAGGTTTAGCGTCAGTCTTGAATGTGACGCTTACGACTTGCGTTACGGCAAATTCAGAGGAAAAATAATACAAGTTAAAACTGTTATTATTTAGAAAGCATTATAGGATTAAAATTTAAATAATTTTTAAAATATAGTTACTTTATAACAAACAAATTAATTTAATTTTTAAACTAACAATAAAATATATTCATGTAATTATGTACCTACTTACTGTGTTTTTAAGCAATATATATAGATAAAAATTTATAATATAATTTATAAAAAATTACTTCTTTAGATTTTTAACATAATGAGTACAAACAGAAGATGCAAATTCAAAGATGATCTAAGAAGTGAATTTCCTTTTGTTAAAAAAAAACAAAAGCGATCACATTGTAAAATGTGAGAAATGTAACAGTGAATTTTTCTATTTCGCCCGGCTAGAAGAATATTTCAAAGCACTCCGAGACACAGAAACATAAAAGATATTTAAATATTACTGCATCTTCTTTCAAAATGCAGGGATTCTTTCAGAAAACAATTTATGGATACGAAGAAAAGAAATTAGCATTAGCAGAAGGACTTATGTCTTTTCATGCTAATAATCACAATCATTTCTTCAGATCTTGTACATCACAAGTTGTTGAAAAGTTATTCAACAAAAAAACAACAGCAATCTACTAAAAGATTTCACTCAAATGAGAAATATGCCAAAGAATAAAATAATACTATATGTAATTTTTTAATGTATTATATTTGTAAATTGTACTTATGTTGAAATTTAAAAAATATATATTACAATACTATTTTTGCGTTCTATGAAAATTTGTGTTGCTCCATGTAGACTAAATTTTTAATCAAGAATCTCCCCCCCCCCCCCCCCCCGGTTCAATGGTGTCCACTTATGTTAATGTCTGGTTATGTTAAAATCTGGTCACCTTATGCTAAATACATTAGAAATGGCTCATAAGATATAAAACTAAAAATGATAAATAAATTAAATATATATATATATTACAAGAATTCATCATACACAGATATACATTACATTAAGGCCCAAAAGTGCTTTATCAAAGATACTATTAGAAATAAAGATTTGAGTCTTATTCATATTTAATGCTTATAAAACAAGTTCATCACAACAATTTACAAGACCAGTGGGATATAACCGGTATTTTCAGTGTAATTTAAGTACAGTGTCATATGGACTCCATTCTGATAATCATAAATCAGCATAACATCACATTTTAAACACGACTGTATTCCAAACAATATACTTCATAGCTAAAAAATTTTTCTCAAAACTATGCTTCATAACTACATTCTACTCTCCAGTTTCTTTAAATAATAAAACATCACTGTTTGATAACTGTCAGATGATGATTAAGAAAATATATACAAATATGTGGTATCATTACATTTTATCTCAATATATTCACAAATCTTAACTACAGTCTGTTACCTTAGAACAGACATTTCAAGGCTATTTCCTTCCTCTAAATCATGACTCTTAGTAACTACTGCAGGGAGAAAAAAAAAAAAAAAAGGCTGAATCCTCTAATTTCCTAATCCTCTAAATCCCTCTGCGCTCATATAAGTTATGATCCTAAATGAAGGGAGGATCGTTATGCCTATGAAGTGCCTATTTTAAAGTAACAGACTATCACATCTGAATGCTGAGTATTCCCAGTATAACTACATACATACATACAGCCCAAACTAAACAACATATCACAGGAAACCAAATATATAACAAAAAAGTACATTAAATAATGCTTCACAGAAAATTTTAATATTACAGCTTCAGTTTTCAATAATAGCACAAGAGCAACGACTGCTTTAATAAACATTTATTAGCAATACAGTCTTTCGTAAGAAGAAGGGGGAGGGAAAAAAACTACAATAACGATTTTAATGAAAAGTTGTTCCTTGACTTATAATGTTTTTCATTCTGATATGCCATTAATAAGTTGAAAATATTATCATAATTAACATACTTATTATAACTAATATATTACATGCATTTAGTTTGAAACTAATAATTTTATCTATTGAACATAAATCTAGCGAATGTTAAAAGTGCTCAGAAGATTAATGCAGTGAACTTTCAATTTTGTGAATTCATAAACTACTAAAAAAAGTTTATAAAATCAATAGCTGTTCATTAATGAAAATGGCACTAAAAAATTAAATTTGCATTCACTTTCATTTGCTTAAGAGATCAAAATAATTAATATTATTATTTGGCTTCATTACCACCCTGGCAAATTTCAGTCCCTTTTCTTCATCAATCTGGGTTTCAAGATTTGGGAAATTTCATTCTTCAATTAATTTTAGAACATTTTATTTTACCATTCCCTAATTTTCAGTATTTAAACAGAAAGAATAAAAAGAAATTGGTAAGTTAAGATCACAAAAAAGAGACAATGTATAATGAGAAATTATACTTTTTACAAAACACAGCAGAAATTAATTCTATAGGATACTTTCCTAGACCACTGCAATAGTTCATAAAACAAACAATTTGTAAATTGAAAGTTCACTGAAAACCCAAATCCCCTCTCATATTCTTTGAATATTGCACTAAAAGGGCTAAGTACAAATATGCAAGTATTCACCATTAACGCAAACAGCTGAAAACATACTGGACTTTTTTTACAAAAAAAGAAAAAACTTTTGAAGCATTGAAATTTATTGTTGGATGGTAGTGATGCTGTAAGTAAACAAGATTTCACTCTTTTTTAATGAGGCTTATGTCAGCTAGAAAGGATATAGGTACTTGCTGATATTTTTCATTAAGACATCAATTTCTGAGTGTACAATTAGTTCCTTCTTTTTTTTTATGTACTTTATTATAATCCTCTACCTACCTATTAGTGCTTTTACTGATGATATACACTGAACGTATTATAACTGGGCTATGTGCAAGCTTGGAACATGATCAAAATTTTGATTGCAGTTTCAGCAGTACATGTAGCTGCAGAAATCATCACACAGCTGGAAAATGTTGAGTCAAACTATCATAAGTCAAAGACTATTTATGAACAGAATAAAACAAAACATCTCAGAGCAAGAAAAGAATTTTACGCTTCCGACATTTTATGAGTTGAACTGTTTAATCTTTGTTCTAAAGTGATCTATGTACAATTTATTAAATTCTGATGAAAATAAAATTCCTGATGAAATCTCAATATAATAAATAATTCAGTACTGTCAATATTACAAAAACATAAAATCAAAATGTAAGAAAAATTTTGAAAATCTCATAAATTCAGCAATTCCCCCCCCTCCCCTCTTAATATATATATACAAAGTTATTCATAACATGCAAAATTTTGGGTTTTTTTTCTTTTTGTTTCGCTTTTTGTTTGAAGGCTGTCAATACTGTTCTTATAAGTTTCATCATCTACTATCATTCTGATTAATTGAACATTTGTTATTTTTAATGTCACACAGGTGTTCACAAAGGAACAGAAACCATAATTGTGAAAATTCATTATTACAACAAATTAGTGCAGAGTTTGTAATATTGGCTTGATCTACATGTCTGAATTAAATTGATACCATGAATAAGTAACTTCAGCATGAACTGACACATCCTACATATTTCTTGATGAAAAATTCCCTGAATGTATGACTTGTACTCAGTGGTGACTACCAGGAATGTCCTGCAAGGTCTTGTTAACTTACACATGGCTGTTTCTTCATGTAAAAACTGTAATTTGATTTCCCGAGATCTGACAAAGTTCAACCAACATGGTGCTGCAGTACAAGTACAACATGCAAACATATTTCAGGCAAAAACTTTTTGTATAAACAAGAATTTTTATTGACAACCAGTAATTGAAAATTCTTCAAAATTTTTATTATTATTTCATTGAAGAGAAAAACCTTGAGAAATTTTTAATTATTGACAAAATTTACTTGGCACTGATTTCAAATAAAAAGATTCAACTTATTTGGGAAAAGTATGATATGGCCTCTCTTCAAGAGCAAATCACTCTACAAACATGCATCAGTTCAATAACAACAGTAGCAATACAAAATATCATGGAAATTTAATATTAGTTATTGAGCAAAACAAAGGGAAGATAAGAAGGACAAAAAAATTTAGAAGGTGATTTAATTTTACTCAATGAAGGTATTTACTGCAATATTTAATGATATTTAATGCTCAGTCTTAAAAAAATTATTATTATAATGAGATTTCACATTCAAACTAAATAACAAAACTAAATAACAATTCAAACTAAATAACAAAACTAATTAACAAAACAAATGAAAGACAACACAAATCACACAATAAGCCTTGTATACGGCATAACATTTTAGCCAGTAATGTTCTAATTAATGCCCAAAAAGGTAGTATTTTCAAGACATAACATCAGATTCTTCTAAGATTTCAAAGTCCATTAATTCATCATCCTCTAAATCACTTGATGATGAAATTTTTGGCTTTGGTACACTGCTTACTGAAGTTTCAACTTTATCCTTCTCTAGGCTAGTGACTTTTTTTGCTGCTGTTTCCTGTTCTTGAGTTCTGCTAAATGAAAGACCTTCTGTGAAAACATCACTCTCTGATTCAGAACTGTCCTCTTTGAAATGAGATGTTACAAAATTCATTTCATTATTTTCAGGCTCTAACTTAGGCACAATGTCATCAGAAATGTCATCTTCAAGCTCACTCTCACCCTCTTCTTCAACACTTGGAAAAGCACCAAGGCCATGATATAATGAAAAATCATCACCTGGGGGGGGGAAGAAAAAAATTCAAGCATAATATTTTTCCTATTTACAAATTTTACTTTCAGTATGAATGCAAATTAGCAATAAATTTTATACACAAATAAAAGCTCACAGAAAAGATTATTGCCAGAAAAGACTAACTCAAGTCTTTTTATTCATTCTAAACCATTATCAATAACAGTGAAGTAACAGTCTTGTGAAACATATAATAGATTTTTTACTTTTTCATCATGTACACATTTTACCAAAATTTTCTCACCTGCATTTTATTTCAGCAATTTTTAAAATGAATTAAATTTATTACACTTCATTTAATAAATAAAAATGGAAAATATTTTTAACTGCTTGCAATTATGTAAATTATATTACACACTTTTTCTTTTACAAAAATTGTTTTCATTTTAACAGTTAGCAGTATTTCATTAATTTACTACTATAATGAATTTAATATTTAAATTTAATTAATTTTGTTCATTCATTTTAATTTACTAGTGTTTCTTTAAGTTTTGTTTATTTATTTCAATCTTTAGATTATTTACTTTTGCATTATTTTACTCAATTTACCTGATAAGTTAAATGAGTAAAAAGAATGATTTTAATACAAAATTAAGAGGAGACAAATTGATATGTTTCAAAAAAAATAATAAAAGATCTTAAACAAACAGATGCTGTTAAAAATTAAAACTTTCACCACAAGTGTCAATCTCTCCTCCTAAAAAAGAGGGAGAAAGAAAGCAAAAAATTAAATCTATTTCCAAAATATTTTGACAAACGTGAAGGTAAAAAGATATCTTCTGAACATCTTTAGGTAAAAATCTTAGGATATCTTTACGTAAAAAGATATCTTCTGAAGAATAGAAAGTTATAAAAATGAGTCTGAAAAATCATAGATTATCATCCACACAATTAAAACAGATGTGAGAACATTATGCTATATCAGCGAAAAAAAGTACTCCCCCACCCCACCCGCACCCCCCCCCCAAAAAAACTGAAAACTAGATTCAAAGCTTGTAGATGACACAGAAACTTAAGCTGATGCTTTCTTTGATTTTCTTGGGCCTAAATTTAAACCTCATGGACTAGACCTGAAAAAAAAGGCATTTATTCAAAATTTAACTATTTTTTATACTCAAACTAATTTTACACTTTTTTAAAATCTTTTAAAGCCTTTTACTCATTTGCTTCCTAAATGAGAAATCTTTTTTCATTATTCTTGATATATTTCGCCAATAACTTGGGTTTCTCTGATGAGACTGTAATCCAAATAGTTAATGTCAGGGTCTTCAAAAGGCAAGGATAAGCAACAATAATTCTATTTTTAAAGGATATTAAATGCTGGCTGGATAACGCAAAAATAGTCCTGATATGAACTCCACTGAAGGAAATATGAAATATTTTCAAAAATAAAATGCATCAAGAAATAATAAAGGTGAAATTAATTTAAAGAACCCAGAGAATTTTGGTTTAAAATACAGGGTGTTTATAGATGAATGGTGCAGTTTTAAAAATTAATAATAAATTGATGTATTGTCTTATCCATGTAAAACCTACATCGTAAGCATTGACAACTGTCCAAGTTTCTCATGTGCTACCTGCTGTTTGCTTGCCATGCTTATCAGGTTCAATGTTTCTTCTTACCTTCTTCGGAAACATACAATGACCTGACTAGAACAGAGAGCTTACTAAAGCTATGTTCACTAATTGTAGTAAGTAGACAGGATACAGACGAAGGGTATACAAAACCCTTTATTTTTTTCTTTATATACAATGACTTCCGTACTTCGGAATACAATGACCCTCCACTCGGGGTCTAACTTAAAAGATATCAAAATAAAACTAAACTCTAATTTAACTTTAGAATAAGATTGGCCTTATAATAACAGAAAGCGTATGTAGCACAGAGACTGTGAACACTACAATACGTTTAATTTATCAAGAGGATTAAAACCTCTGGCCTGGAAGGCAAAGTAGCAACTGCGTAACTTCTAAGGTAAGCGGCCTGCTTCGAACTCACGGCTTCCTCTCTTCTGCTTGGCAAAAAGGCCACACTTAAATACTTGGCGTTCGCCAGACAACTTTGCATAAACTCCTTCACGCTTATAATTCTGGCCGGAAGTAGAAAATAAGAAGTGATAGTAAAGATTTAAAATAAAATAAACGTTAGTAAAACTTAAGATCCTTACATACTTCCCGCCAGAGTTAATTAGTTTGAAACTGAGGTCTAAAACGACCTTGTTGAAAACTTTTAGCTCTAGAATCTAACGCGAGGCCAACCTTTTACAAACATAACTTAGCTAGAAACTAGAAAATTTAAAAGAAAGAAATTTGTTACAATAGCAGCTCCCGGAATATACAACAATCTTTTTTCTTTTTCATCTGTACTGCATCAAAACAGGAGCTTTATTCAATTCTGGTTCCTTCCAGAGATCTGGAAGGAAAACTAGTTTAATGAAATGTTACAGAATGACATTGTAAATAACATATAGAATATACTTTTCTTAACATTCTTATTTCATTCATGACTATTTTAATTATCTCTCCCCGTGCTCTCTGACATGTGTTGTAAAAACACCAAACACGAATGTGTTTCTGTCTATGTGTTCAACACTTCCTCCTACAATCAAAACACTAACGTGTTAAAATTCAACATACGAGACCTCTTAACACACCCTAATTTCAACTCTAGACCCTGAGGTACTATTCTGAAAGTGGCTAACTCTAAAGTGTAGCGTCAGAGAGCCTAACTACATCATTCAACCTTTAACACATATTCAGCCATGATTTAATCTTTACAGTCACACGAATAACAAAATTTTTTAACATTACTTTCACTTTTACCATATCACGGTATTTCTAAAACATTCAAAATAACAGTTCACATGTATACAAGAACATATCAAGATGCCGTTAATTTTACACATTTGAAAACATACATTAGTAGTACATTGTTAACTTCTATTCTTTTCAAAGCAAGTGCCAATTCTTTCTACATTGAAATAATACTACATTTCAAAAAGTCTTTCAGACTAAAACTTCTTTCTTGTTAGAATGTTTTAAATAAAATTTATACAATAACTTTTTACAATATTTAAGTCTTTATACACAACGCTATTATACATCAACTTTAGTTTTACGCGCGAGTAATTGAAAAACATAATAAGAAAATCGGTCACAACTCATTTCTCGCCCTTTTGGCGATAAAGGTAGACCTCGCATGAGGTAAAAACTTCTTGAAATCTGCCACTTGCAGTAAGAATGAAAGATTAACTTAAGTTTGTAAAGTAACATAAAATTTTACTTATCTTTGTAATATTCAGACATCCTTTTCTGGGCCCAGTCTTTAAAGGTGCTGCAGACCGTAGTTGCTTGGTTGATCCTCCTTCTTGTACGGGCTCGCCCTTCAGTGCTTTCCTCTGGAAGCTTCCGTTTTTCACCACTACGGCCACCCTTGAACATCTTCCTTCTGTCCTCTGCTTGTGGTCTTGGCCGTTTGAAGGCAGCTGGTCTTGGTGGAACCGGGAAACTTCTGTCGTGATCCTGCTTGGACCTCGTTGTTGGCCGTTCAAATTTTTCTTGTACTTTTTCCTCCGCCGCTGATGGCCCTTCCGCAGTTCGGCGACTTTTGCTGCGGAGAGTTCTGTCGGATGAGTCAATCTTCCGTTTCACAGCCGGGTTATAGTTGCCGTCCTTTTCTCCCGGTCTTTTCCACATACGTCGTCCTTCTCCCTTCTTCATTCTGGGGGTGTTTCGTGAACTCTGTTTTTTGGACGGTGGAACGGCTTCTTTTTCTTTGTACCTTCAATTTTTCCGCGGGGCAATTTTCTTTTCACTTGCTTCTGTCTCTCATTGGCTTGCCCTTGTACTTGTCGTTTTCCCACCTCTGGAACTTGTACCTGCGGTGTCTGCCGTACCGGATCCTGCAAAAGATCTGAAAAGATTTGCATTTTATTACGATCGATAGAATGGTTTTAATTTGATCAATGTTTGCGGAACAGGTTTCACCATTTCTTGCCTTTAACTACAACAGCGTGAGTTATTTTTTCTATAACATATGGTCCTTCAAAGCGTGGGAAAAAATTTGGCAGTTTTATCTTCTGGTGCTGAAGAAAGTGAATGCTTAATTTTTAAAACTTCATCCCCTACTTTATAAGTTACTCCCCGTCGTTTCAAGTCATAATAGAGCTTTCTGTTTTCTTTGTGCTACTTCCGTATTCTTTTTTGCTTCTTTTATTAGTTTTTCTATATCACCCCATTTTAAATTCTGGGGCTCTTTGTTGCACATAAAATAGTTTATCTAACGGTGTTATAATCTTTCTTTCTGCCTAGAAATAACTCAGCAGGAGTTTTTTGCCCGTTGTATCATGTTTTGCGGTCCTAAGGGCGAAAGCAAATTCATTGACATAGTTATCCCAGCTTTTATGAAAATTTTTAACATAACTACGGATAATTTTCACTATATTTCTGTTGACCCGTTCCGCTATATTTGATTGCGGCCGATACGGGACCATTTTTAAATGACGTATGCCCAGTTTTTGGCACATGTCTTCAAATATATTACTTACAAATTGAGGACCATTATCCGATATAACTTTTAGGGGCGCCCCGTATTTTAAAATATATTTATTTAAAATAGAATCGGTAACTAATTTCGCGGAGGCTCGTTTTAAGGGAACAATTTCGGTCCATTTACTAAAATGATCAACTATAACAAGGAGATAGCGACTTTTGTTTAACTGACTTTTTGGGAAAGGGCCCAATAAATCGATGCCGATTATTTCATTTGGAAATTCGGATTTAATACTATTTAGAAACCCGGCCGGGCGGAAATTAATATAATTAACGGCTTGACATGTTGGGCAGGACTGGACATACGCCCTTGTTAACTTTTGCAGTTCAGGAAAGTAGACTGCCTCCTCGCGTACGCGTTGAGTAGTTTTTCGAATACCAGCATGAGAAGCTAAAGGGCTGTCATGGAGCTCTTGCAGGATATTTAATCTAAGACTAGCTGGGATAACAGGTCGAAATTCGTTGTTGGAATTCGTAGTTTTTGTATAAAATAATAGACCATCTATTAGTTCGTAATGGGCCGCCCTATTTCTTATCGCCACAATATCTTGGTGGCTAAAATTTTCAGGATCCTTCAAATACTCATAAATACTTCCAAACTCAGGATCCTTACCCAGTTCGGTTATTACAGTTTCTCGGGAATTTATTGTACACGCTGTCAGCATTGCAACTTTTACGGTATTACCCTGTTCGTCTAATTTAATTCGTGATAGGGCATCTGCTACGATATTTTCCTTTCCGGGGGTATGCTTGATTACCAGATTATATTCTTGCAGCTTGAGTGCCCATCTTATTAACCTTGGGGATAAATTTTTTCCCTGAGTACAATCTAGTTACCGCCGCATGATCAGAATATACTGTTATCGGCGCCTTTCCAAAATAGACTCGGAACTTTTGCACTGCTAACAGAACTGCAAGTGCCTCTCTCTCTCGGTCGCGGAATAGTTTCTTTGTGTTTGATTTAAAGTTCGGCTAAAAAATGCCACGGGCTGCTGATTTTGCGAAAGTACCGCTCCTACCGCATAATCCGAAGCATCCGCTGAAATTTCTAAATTTTCATCCTTTTCAGGAAATTTCAACACAGGGGCTTGCGTTAATGCTTGTTTTAATTTTTCGAAAGCACTATTGGCTTCGGCCGTCCACGAGAATCTTGCCTTTTTCCTTTTTAATTTTAACAATGGCTCAGCGATAGCCGCAAAATCTTTTATAAAGGACCTATAATATGAACAAAGTCCTAGAAAAGAAGAGAGCTTCTTTGCCGTGTTTGGAGTCGGATACTTTTGTACAGCGATTATTTTTGATTCATCTGTCTCGATCCCTTTTTGCGATATTTTGTAACCTAAATATTTTAATTCAGGGGCTGCAAATTTGCACTTTTCGACATTAACTTTTAGACCGGCCTCATTTAATAAAGAAAACACCTGTCTTAAATCCTGTACATGTTGGTCTAGATTATCACTAGTAATAATGATATCGTCTAAATAGATAAATGTGGACTTTCCAAGAACAGGTCTTAACACAATGTCCATGCATCGCTGAAATGTTGCTGGGGCGCCCTGAAAGGCCAAACGGCATTCGCAAAAATGCATAAGTGCCAGACTTGGTTATAAAAGCAGTCTTAGGCACGTCCTCAGGCCTGATCCCCTATTTGAAAATAACCATTCGTTAAGTCTAAAGTCGTCATAAATTTGGTTGATTTTATGTTCCTTAAAATTTCTTCTATAATCGGTAACGGATATACCGGATATTTCGTTATGGAATTTAATTTACGGTAATCAATAGCGAATCTCCACCTTTTTGGATGCTCCAAAGGATAATCATTATTTTTCTTACATAAAACCACCGGACTAGCATAACTACTTGAGATAGGGCGTTATGATCTTTTTACGTAGCATATCGGTAATATGCCATTCTATAATTTTTTCCTTATTCTTATCATACCGGTATGGTTTTTGACGAACCGGCAATGCATCTCCGGTGTCAATACTATGGTTAGTAACCTGAGTAAATCCTGGAATATCACTAAATAAGGAAGCAAATTCACTTACCACTTGTCGGATTCTATCTTGCTCGTCATTAGGCAGGTGGTCAAGATTTAACCTTGGCGGTTCAACCTTTTCTACACGCACTGGTTTCATCGTCAGCTTAAGGGACGCTTCATTAAAATCCAGTGTAGCTTGTGCGTCTGAAAGAAAGTCTATTCCTAGTATTAAGTGTGCTTGCAAATTCTTTACTATAAAAAACATCACCTTTACTTGTTCGTCCTTGATACGGATGTACAAAGGTACTTTACCTACGCACTTACATTGTTCTCCTTGCGCCGCTAATACTGTTGTATTATCCGCATTATATATGCGGTATTTGCGAAAATACTTTCTAAAAAAGACTTCTGCCACACAGGAACACTGCGCGCCGGTATCCAGGAGTGCGGTGGCCGGGATATTATTTACCAAGACTTCAATCTTCGGAAGAGTTAAATTTTTCACCATTACTGTATTTAACTTGTAGGAAGAGGGGTTTTCGTGGCCTTCGGATTTCCGCACCCTCTCGTCAGCAGAAATCCGTTTTAGTTTAAATTATTTTTTTTTTTCGGTGCTTTCCTTCTTTTCTCCACTGGCCTTGAGACTTTTTTCCTGGGTTGCTATTGAACTGTCGACGTTCGCCGGCTGTTTTTGAATGCTCGGGTTTCCTTGCCCACTGATTCGCTTTTTCTCCGTAGCCATGTGCTTGAGTTTGCTGTAGTCTTGGCGTACCAAATTGGTTTCGCTGTTGATATTGGCGTCTTCTTTCGACGTCCGCCGTTCTTCTACTTTCAAACTGGATTGCTAGCTCAAATAATTTTTCCAGTGTAGTCGGATTTCTCAATTCAATAAAGTCTTGCACTTGGGGTAGTAACCTCGGCAAAATCACTTGAATTATTTCAGGATCCGGACGGTTTCCATACAAGAGCTTGAAAACGTGAATTTTTCTTAAAATAAAGCTCGGAGAGGTTTTCCATTCTTTGTTGATATATACTGAAAAGTTCCGTGTTTCTAATTTCGCACGATCCCTTACAACAGGGAAGGCTTTTAGTAGGGCAGTCTTGAAATTTTCGTAAGTATATAGGTGGGACTTCCTGCTTGACCCAAGAGACTTCTGCCGATACATTTGAACCAGTTAAGCGCTTGGCCCCTCAAAGCGCTGGTAGCTAAGGTAACTTTTTGAAACTCGTGCACGGGGTAGAGCATGAAGTGGTCATCCAATTTTTCCAAAAAACTGGTTACCTGTGAGTTTCCATTAAACGTTGCTTCTGGTTTCATCGAAGCGCGCATGGTCTGGACGAATGTACCCAAATCCTTCCAGGGCGGCAGCTGGCATTTCTGGATTCTGAGCCGTTTCTGCAGGCAGCACAGGTTCTTCTTGAAACTCGGCCATGGTTATTCTTCGTCGGGCGCCACTATCAGGTTCAATGTTTCTTCTTCTACCTTCTTCGGAAACATACAATGACCTGACTAGGAACAGAGAGCTTACTAAAGCTATGTTCACTAATTGTAGTAAGTAGACAGGATACAGACGAAGGGTATACAAAACCCTTTATTTTTTTCTTTATACAATGACTTCCGTACTTCGGAATACAATGACCCTCCACTCGGGGTCTAACGTTAAAAGATATCAAAATAAAACTAAACTCTAATTTAACTTTAGAATAAGATTGGCCTTATAATAACAGGAAGCGTATGTAGCACAGAGACTGTGAACACTACAATACGTTTAATTTATCAAGAGGATTAAAACCTCTGGCCTGGAAGGCAAAGTAGCAACTGCGTAACTTCTAAGGTAAGCGGCCTGCTTCGAACTCACGGCTTCCTCTCTTCTGCTTGGCAAAAAGGCCACACTTAAATACTTGGCGTTCGCCAGACAAACTTTGCATAAACTCCTTCACGCTTATAATTCTGGCCGGAAGTAGAAAATAAGAAGTGATAGTAAAGATTTAAAATAAAATAAACGTTAGTAAAACTTAAGATCCTTACATGCTAACTGTGCCGCAGCGACAGTTTCCAAGCTGCACAGCAATAGGAAAAGGCTTTTTGTTTGCTGCATTTTGAGGTGTCCAGATCTGTAATTACAGTGCAGCGTGAGTTTCGAGTGCATTTTCTGTGCAGTATCTCATGAGAAAGTGCATGGCTCATTTTTCTTCGAACAAGAAACTATGATTGGTAACTCATTTCTAGACATGTTGGAAACCTGGTCGTTTCCTTAGCTGAACACCAATTATGATGATTACATTTTGCAATTGGACGGTGCTCCACCCCATTTTCACATGAATATATAAGAGCTTCTTAATCCTATTCTTCACCAATGCTTGATTGGATGCTTAATTGCAACAGCAGACAAAAACCTTTTGCCCTGGCCACACTGTTCACCGGATTTAACACTATGTGATTTCTTTCTTTAGAGGTTTGTTAAAGACCAATTTTATACACCGGCAATGATCATGTCGAGGAAGTTTATGGTCGAATAAAGCATGCACTGTAGATCGTCACGGTGGATATGCTACACCAAGTATGGGAAGATATTGATTATCATGTGAATGTAAGTTGTGTGACCGAGGGTGCACATACTGAAGAAATGCATAAAAAACTTGGACAGTTGCTACTGCTTATGCTGTAAGATTTACCCATATAAAGTAATACATTGATTAATTAATTTTTAAAATTGCACCATTTATTCATACACCCTGCATAATTCATAATATGTCGTTTGTTTTTTAACATTATTAAATGTAAGTAAAGCATAATAAAACATTCTTAATCACAGAAATATATACTTTAGCAACAAAGCTTTAAGAAATTCTTCATAATTTGTATAAGATTGTATTTCATGCCTTTACTGGCAATAATAATAAATTGATTTAAAATCAAAAGCTTACTTTCATTAATGTAATGTTCATCAATAGGAGCTTCTGGATCTAAAGAATCAGTTAAAACTACACCGGGACTTGGTACTTCTGGGACATCCTCCTTCAGTGATAGCTGCCTTATAAGTTCAGCTGAGATTTCAGGAACAAACTCTTCCAAATCACTGTCTTTATCAGACTGCCCAGCAGATTTTGAAGAATTAAGTGAACCTTAAAAAAGGAGCAGGGGATATAATTGTACTATTAACAGAAGAAATATTTATTACATGAACATCAAATACCATCATAAATTATGATGCTAAATCAAGAGAAATCTATAAATACATCTTTCACATATACAAGAGATATTCAGTATCATGGATATCTTCAAATGGATTCTAAGAAAATCATACTTACATAAATGACATCAATACAGTACGCTATCTTCAAACAGTGGAAGCAAAGATAAATATTTTCATTAAATAATGCAGTTCTCCCAATCACTACTAAGATATACACTTTTATCTACTTTCATTCTGCATAATTTCATTCAAATAAATTTCCTTTAAGGGAACTTAACTGTCTTTTAAAGAATAAAGCTTTCTGACATAATGCATATAAAACAATTTAAAACTCTCCTCAGTTTAAAAAACAGCACACATCTTCCTACAGCTTTTCATGCTTAGTTGGATTATCTCAAGAAATTAATTGCAGATGAAAAAGGTGAGTGAATATAAGATATTACGCTCCATCAAGACTGATGCGAAAGAGTATACTCAGCTTATATTTTCAACCATTTTAATTGCATAAGAGCATATAGTAGAAACCCATCTATCCGGGTTTCAACTAAATGGAAAGTTTAAGTAAACAGAATATTTTAGAACTTTGTTTTGGGGGAGAGTGGAATTTCCCGGAAAAAATAAATAAATGATACCTTTGTAATACCATTATACAGCTTTAATACTATTAGCATGTATACACTATTGCCAAAAAGTTTCACTTAGTGTCTATAACAGATATTCAAGACATCACAACACAATCACAAGAACTCAGCCACTGTTTCATGTAAACACGATTAATTCTCGATAAGCTGGATTTTTGTAATGAAGGACATAAGATCTGTTTTCCCCCCTTACATTTTGAAAAAATTATTGATATAGGGACCTGTCTTCCATAAAGTCCCAATCACATTATGTTTCAGCTACACAGGACTTGACGTCGAAAGGGACAATTCTCAGAACCCGCAAAATTCTGGGAAACACACATAAATTACCATTCTCACTTACTACAAAGACTTGAACGCCAAACAGTAATCGATTATCGCTCAGATTGGTATCACGTTATCCTTCAGAAGCAGAAGTTTCGTCTGATTGGTTGTCTCTACCCGGGATCCGAGACATTTTCAGTCAGGTTTGAAAAAATCCCGCGTAGCCGCAACATTGTATCCATAGCTAGGTGGGACTTCGCTTCAGAAGGGGCTCTTTTTTCTAGGAATCCTCCCGTTTAATAAACAATGGGTAAAAACAATACTGTGAATAAATAATACCGTGAAACATTACGATAAGCTATTTAAGTTGTTTATGTGCTACATCCGTAATTTTTATGCTTATTATTTAATTAAATTAAATATATATGTTCCGTTAAACTTCTACCAAAGTGACAGATGCAACTTATGCCAATCTTAATATTGTCAAACATGAAAATGTTTGGCAATATTAAGATGTTTTAGTTTTAAGGCTCTATGAACTACACTGCTGGCCATTAAAATTGCAACACTATGAAGGAAGGTAAATACAAAAATGATATCTATTGTAGTAAGCATGAAGACAAAATGATTAAATTTGTAAGCAGTTTGGGAGTAGTTTACAGGAGTGTGAAATTAGTAAAAACAGCTGCCACCTGTGGCAGCTTAAATGGCCCTACACGGTTATGCAAAGAGTCGAATTGGGGTTGCATGGCAGAAACAGGCAACTCATTCCATGCTGCTTCAAGTCTATGCCATGCTCCATCAACCGTATTAGCTGGAGAGGGGTGGCGGGCGAGTCTCTCAGCAACCCACGACCAGATGTTTTCAATGGGTGACAGATTTGGTAACCGTGCAGACTAGGGCAGCAGTCGAATACCTTGTGTATGAAGGAAGGTCAGAACACAACAAGCAACACGTGGTCTTCCATTTTCTTGTTGGAAGATGGCGTGTGGCAGGCCTAGAAGATAGACCACAACTATTGAACATAACATGTCAGAAATACACCGATCTGCGTTCAAATTACCGTCAATCCCAACTAGAGATGTGCATGTCATGCACCCCATGGCTGCCCAAACCATGACACCAGGTGCAGGAGCCCAATACTGATACCGAATACAAGCAGGTGAAAAGCAGTCTCCTTGGAGCCTCCAGACACGTATATGGCCATCAGAGCAGGCAGAACCAGGACTTGTCTGGAAAGACAACATTGTGACACTCCTGTTTCCAGCTTTGTCGTTCGGCGCACCAGAGTAGCCCTCTATCTTTATGATGCATTGTGAAGGGAAGCCGAAGTAATGGTCGCCGTTCTAACCCGAAGTAATAGTCCACGCTGCTTTAAACATTGGCGCACCGTACAAGCGGATACTGGACTTTCTGCCAACATAACCATTTCCTGACTAATAGCCTATGATGTGGTTTTACGGTTTTGCAGGGTTGACCTCACAGTATGTCTGTCCTCTCGGGTGTTGGTCATAGGAGGGTGTTGAGATCCTGCATGCCGTTCAGCATGACCCTCGGCAACCCGTTGATTCCAGATTCGTATGACAGTGGTTGGATGTTGACCAGTGCAACGGATGATCACGGAACCAGTGCAGCAGATCATGGAAAGATAAGGAAAGATAAGGATAAGATAAGAAAGATAAGGATCATGGAAAGACTCTTGATAGGTAATGATCCTGCCTTTATCGAATTCCAACATTTGCTGGTAAGCATTTCTTATTCTTATTCAATGCATAACACGATATCCTGTGCAAATTCCAACCTTACAAACAGCTTTTCAAATGAGAAATCCGCTACATAACTTTTCTTTTATGCAGTGCTTCAGATGTCGTTTCTCCCTCCTGTGTCTTCTAAATGCGTTGAAATGCTATTCATTTGCATATCCCAACCTCCTCTTCCATGACATTTATCAGATCGTTTCTTCCTGGTGTTGCAATTTTAATGGCCAGCAGTGTATGTTGGCTTTTAAACCTGAGTGCAATTTTTTTTCCGAAATGTCGTATAATTTTTAATGTATGCTTTTGATATTCGAGCAGGTAACAAATAAGATGACTGTTTTTATAATTTTAGACTAGAAATTTCTTCTATTAATTTAACTTTTCTAACATGTATTACACTTTTCATGCACTCAACTATCTTAAATGTTCACATATCTGTCATTCAGCATTTACTAAGCATTGCAGATAGTTAAGCTTTTACTATGTATATGGATGCAGGATGGTATTTCTATAATAACAAAGTTCCCTTTTGGTATAACACATAATGCATAAAGAATTTGTACACACATACACACCTTTTAAAATGTCACCGAACATGAATAAACAGCCATGATGCTTTCTTCAACAGAGAATACTTGGATGACAGAAAATACTTTGTTCTCTCATCATTTCACTGCCTGAAATACTCTGCACATAACACCTGAACTCACACACTTTTACTGATACTGAGTTCATATATCTGTTCATCCAATTCAACTAATCATTTTTCTGTACAGTAAACTAAAATCCCTTGCCAGAAATTGGTAAGGAATATGCACATTTCTGGCAGTCTATAATACGTACCTGCCTCGCGAAGAAGACAATGCAATGCTTGCAATTGCAGCAGCAGAAATAGTTTGCAGAGTACCTTTCTCTCCCATGCCATAGCAATCGTAATCCTAGGTTTTCTTCCAGAAAACTTACCACTGCATGTCTGGCACTTAAGCTACTGCCACAATCAATAAGACAAAGAAACACTAAGCTATTATTCCAAGTTTGACTAATTTTGGTCTATCGTAAGAGGGCCAATGCTCTCCTTCAGAGTTTATCTGGAAAATATTTTACTAGTATCAGATTCTGTAAGAGGGTGAGAATAAAGTTTTGCTTTAAAACTTGATATAAATTCATCTTAATTTTCCACTGAAATTTCTATTAAACACTGTTGACATAAGAAATTACCACATTCTTCAGTCCATGCTCTTGTGATATCAACAGCTAGCATATTCCATTTAACGTTAGAAGATGCAGGTTCAAATATATGTAAAGGCACATACAATTTCTACAGAATAATAATAATAATAAAAAAAAAAACATAAACAAAAACTTGTACTACAAATGTGGGGAACAATGAGTCATTACCACTTAGATCCGGTTCACTAAAATGGGACAGAAGGAGAAGAATTATTACATTTTCCAGGCATGCTGTTGAGGTAGATATAGTTAGTAATTCAGCTATAAAACTAGAAAATCTATGGTTCAAATCCCAGCTAGGACACAGATGATTTGTCTCATTTCCCACACTGAAGAAACTCACAATATGAGGTACATCTATTAATTAGTTTATGCTTGCTGCACTCAATTATATTTGAATATTCATAATTTAAAATATTTGATTTTTTTAATCATAAAACTCAAAAATAAACTAAATAAACAATCAGCAATCTCATCCTTATATTCAGGTTAAAAAAACTTTATTCTCATCTTTGTATTCAGGTTCAATATCTAGAAGACATTTACAATAGGTTTGCATCCAGCAATTAAATATACAGAAGGTAAAAAATCATATATTTAAAATAAGCTAGTAAAACAACAGTGATATAAAGCCAGAAAAGAAAAAACTTATTACATTCACAGTATTTGTGCCAATTTTTATAATTAATCATACCTGAAGGAAATAATTTATTCAAGATATGATTGAGCATTTTCTTCAATAGCTTGCTTGCACATAAGATTGGAAAAATTATGCAAGTATAATGGCAAAAATTTCAATTAATTATGCAAGTGCTCTAATTGTGTAATTTTCCTCCACCAGATTTCTTATATATGAAGCTTTCAACAAAAATTTCCTGCTATCAGATGGCAACAACATTTAGTCAGGATAGGAAATTTGCAAAATAAAAACAACAGCATATGCCTTTAAGGTGCTAAAAAAATATCCTCAACATTCATACAACCAGTGCAAAATTTTAAATTGCTGTTCAGTCAGAATTTCAAATGAATGCTGCTCAGTCAGAATACTTTCAAATCTGAATGAAATTAAATTCATTCAAAAGTATAATAAAAACTGAATTCAGAAGTTTCTATGTTGTTAAATTGCAATACATTTGTTTCAATGCATACATAAAAATATAAGAATCAGCTATTATATATGCACAACTTTCCTTCTGCAACAAAAGTACCACAAAAATTTCTGTAACTCTAAGTAAACCGAGTGATCAGACAAAAAAGCAAAATATTTTGAAAATAATAATAGGGTAAAAAAAAAATTGATTATTGTCACTTTATTTTTATGCTTTTATATAACTTTTACGTATATAAATATTTGTTTGAAATATTACAGATTTATATCACTTATTTAGCTTCAATGCATACTTATGCAATTAAACCATAATGTAAACAGTTTTTTCAGTCAATTTAAAAATACACTTTTAACAGCTTTTCATTAGCAAAAACATATAGTATAAAGAAACCATTCTCATTACCTTGGCCATCAGATTCTGCAAAATATCCAATGATATGATCATATAAAGTTGAAGGTATTAAATGTAATGCTATTCCAGGACCCAAAGATAAGATTAACACTGCAAAAAAAAAATTTAAATATATACATATGCATATATTTCATTTTGTTAGGCTTAATTATAAGTTATAGAATAATAAAAATCTCATACTAGATTTTTTTTAAAGTGTGAAAATATTTATATAAAAAAGAATCTCATTTACCTAAACTGTAAATGATAAGAACTCCTGGAATAACTTTACCAATAACAGCAAGTAGAGAGAAGAAGCCACACATCAAGGCACAAAACTAAAAATATATTTTTATACAAATTATTTTTGCACAGAATAAAAGAAACGAATTATCCACAATCAATATACTTACAGCTACTGTTTCAAAAATTTTGTATAATGTTATAAAATAAAAGTTAGGTTAATAATATCAACCCAGGTTAAGTAATTATTAAATTTCTGGTTTGTTTTAGAGGTTTAAGCAGCACAATTAATCACATAGCAACAATTACAGTTTCTAATGGAATTCTGTATTCCTATTAAAAACAGGAAAGATTAAAAAACTGACAAAAGCAGAAAAATCTAGCAATATGACTGATTAGAAATATATAAAGGTGGATAAAATTCATTCAAATAATATAAAAAAACACACAATATTTTAATAAAATTAAAGATATAAAAATGTATTATTTTACAAAAAATAAACACACAATTCTTTACTTATGATCATTAAAAGTGAAAGAGTTCTTTAAGTTAAAAGGAAATTTATTCAAGTTTAATAATAAGCCTTCATACAGCCTCTATTAACACTCACGTTCAATCTGTTTAGATTAGAAAAGGTCTTCACCATGCATAGAGACTAAATTAATCAAAAAGAAAATAGGAATAACCGATAAAATTTGGCGGACTGAATAATGACTCCACTGAGTCAAGCATTTGCACAACATCTAGCAAAAGCATAACCTGTGTGAAATCTTGGATTTTTCCCCTTCTTTTAACGAGATTCAATTTATGACTTCCTGTTACATTAGAGCACATCGCAATTTACTGTTCTTGTGACTGGAAGCATTTTCTTCTTTCTGAATGCTATGTTGGGAGGCATTTCACAATAGGTTGGATTTATCAACATTTGCTCTGCAAGCAGCTAACTCATCAAACTTAGAGCAAAAATCTTTTGTCACATTCTGATCACCATTTAGAAGTTGATCGAACACTTCAAATTCTCAAATACTATGGTAAGTATGCCATTCCAAAAACATTAACTATGTCTCTAAGTCTCAATTGTCTAAAACATTTTTCTTTCTTCTGCACAAATAATTCCATTTATAATGTTTTCCTGTGCACTTTATAATGTTTTCCTGCAGGGTAAACCACCCAAACAATACTTTTCCCAATTCTCATATATGTACTTTTTCTTATAGTCGCCCCTCCCCCAATCGAATGTGTGCACAGACCACATGAATTCTTCTTTTTCATACTAAATCACACAGTCTACTTGCTTATCTCATACTGTAATGATAATGATTTTATACTTGATCTGTTCTCTGCTTCAGGGATCATTTGAAGTGTTTGATGAATGAAAAGAATTACATGCTCCCGCCTTTTTTTTTTTAATAATTTTTTACACCATAATAAAGCAAAATTACTCAAAATAATATGACTTTAAAAAAAAATCAATTTCAAAACTAATGTGCATGGTTTTATAAGAATTTAAATGAAGGAAATAAACTGCATCAAAAATAGCAAGCGGTAGCTATAGTGAGAAGGGAAGCCAGTAAGAGAGCACTTGCTAACTCACATAGTGGGAACAGCACACTTGCTTTTTTTTTTTTTTTTTTTAATGTTATTCTTTAATTTCAAGAGCAGCCAACATGAAGCACAAGAGTAATTAATAACTGTACAATAGATTTTATATTTTTGATTGTACTAATTACCATTAGCAGACGATTTAACAGTATTTACATATTCCAGATTATGAACAGATGTGCATAAAAGCAATTCCAAAATACCATCCTCTATTACCACTGTTGTTATTCCATTTCGTTTTTGCATTTTTCATTTCCATTATTTTTTCACAATTGCTGATGGTTTGTGATAATTTTTCCACCATTCTTCAATTAATTTTTTTTAAGGTGGTGCATAGTTAATCCCCTTCCAATTAATTGGAAGTCTACTATATATATATATGTGTGTGTGTGTGTGTGAAATATTAAGAGCACAAGGAAAAGCCGGAACAATTTCGATGCTTGCCTAGATCCATACTGAAGAAGAATTTTGATTGCGTAGTAAGCTAATAATTTCAATACTTGTTTCTTTAGTTATGTTATGTTATTTATACCTTACGTTTGATTCATTATGCTTTGTTTGTATCGAATTTGGCTTCTGACCAAGGGTTGTACTGCCCAGGACCTGCAGTCCTTGGGAGGGGGCAGTGTTATGAAATGTCCAGGTGATGGCTTCCCCCCACAAAGCAGTTTTAGGGTTGCCATAAAATGGCAAGGGAAGGCAGGGTTGCCACATTTGGTGAGAAATCACCCATTTGGCCATATGCCATGGATGGATGGAAAACCTTCTGGAACGAATTCTGAAAGGTTTAGCCCAGAATATTCTCGAACACAAGCCAAAAGCTATATAAACCCTGCTGGTTCGCAGTCAGTTAGTGTGTGCCTCATCTAGAGTGCGAGATAGTGTGTCTCGAGTTAGTCGCTCCGTGCTGAGTCGATCAAGTTGACAGCAGGGCAGCAAGTACTGAGAGGGTTGTCGACTGCACCGAAAGAGTCTCTTAGCTTATTGCTGTTAGTGCATCGTCGGGAGGGCATGTTGAACTCCGGGAATGACTGAAATGAAGAGTCGGAAGCTGTGCTCTATGTGTCGTCGAGTGCATCGTGAGTTGTAGCAAGGAGTCTTTTCATGTATCACGGTAGTGCATCATCGAGACAGCGTGCTGAGCTCAGCAAATGACTGAACTGAAGAGTCGGGAGCTGTGCTCTGTGTGTCGTCGAGTGCATCGTGAGTTGTAGTGTGGAATCTCTTTATGTATCACGGTTAGTGCACCGTCAAAAAAGTGTGTTGAACTCTGCGAACGACTGAACCAAAGAGTCAGAAGCTGTGCTCTCTATCGTCGAGTGCACCGCAAGTTGTAGCATGGAGAGTCTCGAGAGTATGTGGAGTTCCGAGAACGACCAAGCAGAGTTGGGAGCTGTACTCTGGTACTTTGCAGTGAAACTGTCTCCACCGTTATCACCCGATAACCTGAAAGCTGTATTGCTGATTGTTCCAGCAAGTGTATAATAGATCTTCGACGACTGTAAAACGTGACTTTGGAGCTGTCCTGATTAATATTGGGTAAATAAAGTATGCTTCGATACTTCATCGAAGTGTCAAGTCTCGTCGTTATTCACTCCAAATCCACACGAACCCCGTACGAATGTGAAGGAAGAAAGTCACGTAACAACTGATGTCAGAAAAAAAAGTAACAATAACAAGGATGCTGTCTAATGAATTCAGAACATTTCAAGAATCTCTAAATATATCAGCCAGTCTTTGTGACAATACCCTCTTCTGTTACTGCTAATCATACATATTTTCATCTTGTGCATTAACTTATTACAACATCCATCTTATGCATTGTAACACTCATCTTATGGATCTTAACATTATGCAGTCTTATCTTATCATGTTTATAAAATAAAGGCTTTACATGTTGCAAACTAAGACTGGTAACTTATTACCAAATTAGCATTCAGAGAAAACCAGCATGTTCCTTTTGAATCGTAACAGTCTGCAATCTTATTAGCATATTATTCTTCTGCTAGGCTTCACATTTCTGCTTCTTTCTGCCTGGGGCAAGTATCTAGCCTTCATATCTGCTCATGATTACTATCCAACATCTTTCAACTCAAAAAGCACTCACTTTCTGCTACAGTACAAAGCCTGTAATCCGGACTCGTCGGGACTTTGGCGATTCCGGATTATAGATCATCGATTTAAATCTGGTAAGATGGCATGCAGAAATTATACAATTAAAAATATGAAACCATAGTTTATGAAATAAAGAGCAATTATGATCTAAAGCGTATCAAAATTTACAAAAAAAGAGCTTAATATTTATTTATTTACTTTATTAAACATTTCTTTCAATGTAAGTTGTTTAAGTTGCTTCGTGTTTTGTGCTAATACTTTCTCTTTAATTCTCTCTTCTATAAACAGACATAATTTTTTGTTCAGTTACAAAGTTCCACTGTTCAAATCCTGTAATTGCTGTGTCGAGAATACCGACAAACTTGTCAATGAAAATTTTTTTGTTTTCAATAACCTCTCTGTCACTTTCTTCACTATTGGAAGCGCGCATACGTAAACGCTTTACTGGCTTTACGCGCATGCATAGCGGATGTGTGCATGCATAAGTTTGTGGCTTTGAGGTCCGGATTATAGATCATTCCGGATAATGAACGTCCAGATTACGGATTTTGTACTGTATATGTTTCTCGGACATTTTTACTTATCTTCAGTCAGAAAATGAAATGACAGTACTTGTCAACTGTATTCTGGGATGACATGTATGTGACAGGACTGTGCACTGAGAATTTACCTCCCTATGTCAAATGCTCAATGCAAAATTCCACTTTGATGTTTCCAGAACATAAAGAGAATGTTTATCACATTGCATTAGTACGAGGAGCCTCCCTGCAGCAAGTAGCCAACAGCCTCCCATTCACAGTACTTAGAATCGCCTCAACCACCAGGAGGTCTACACGTTTTTATCAATGCAGTACATAAATATGGCTATACTGAAATGTTCCACCTATTATATATCTCTTGATTTAACAATTGGCTAATATCAGGCAAATAGCTTCAACAAGTTAACACTGGAATTACCCTTAAAACTGGAATTCAAAGTAAATTAAAGATTTGTGTGAGTCCGTAACTACCACACATACCAGAACTTTACTAGTTTCATGAACATTATGACTGAACAAGAGAAAGTTGGAAAATGGATAGATAACTAGCAAATTTAAACACCAGCTATTTCAAATGAACAAGATATTTTTAACAGCTTCTGATCATTTATTTTTAGCTTCTGCTGTTGTATATGAATCAATGAATTCATTCCATTTTAGGATCATATGATATGTTTTTATTTTTATATACCGTTCTTATCTACTTAACTTACTTGCTTCATAAGTCCTTCATAAAAGCAGGAGATTATTCCAGTATGACAATGCAATCTTGCAAAGGCAAGTAATTAAAAGAATATATTAATTCACTGACAGCTTAGCTGCAGGTGAGAAGGTGCGT